TCTGGCTGCTCCACTTCCTATCCAACTCCCCGCTATGGCCTGGGAAAGCAGTGGAAGATGACCCAAGTCCTTGGACCCTTGCACCCACATGGGAGACCCAGAATATCCTGGCTGCTGGCTTTGGATCAGCACAGCTCTGGCCATTGTGACCATCTTGGGGAGTGAACCAGCAGATGGAAGACCTCTGTGTTTCTCTCTTTGCCTCTGCCTCTCTGTAACTCTGCCTTTCAAATAAAATAAATAAATCTTAAAAAAAGTAAAGTTAACAAATGCTGGTAAAGATTCAGAAAAAGGACAATTCTTACACACAGTTGGTGGTGGGAATGTAAATTAGGACAGCCATTTCACAAAACAGTATGGAGGTTCCTCAAAGTAACCTCTGCAAAAAAGTATACTAAATTACACTACTGGAGATAGACAGATAGATAGATAGATATGAAAATAATAAATAAATAAATGAAATCAAGATATCAATGAGATACCAGTATGCCCATGTTTATTATACCACTATTCAAGATATATAATAAACCATGGTGTCCATCGATAGATGAAGAATTTTTCTTAAAATGTGGTATACATACAATGGAATATTATTCAGTCATTAAAAGAAAGAAATCCTGTCTTCAGTGGCAATATGATCAGGACTAGAATATATTATATTAAGTGAAATAAGCCAGGCACAGATAAAACAGAAACATTGTGCTCTCATTCATTTGTGAAATCTAAAAAAGCTTATCTTATAAAGTATAGAATAGTGAGCTCTAGAGGAAGAGTAAGGAGAACTGTGGATAGCAAGAGGATAGATAACAGGTAGCAAAATACAGTTAGAGAGAAAAATTAGTTCTATTCTGTAGCAAGCAAACTATAGTCTATTTATTTCTATTTCAAAACAAATAGAGGATTTAAGTTTCCCAACACAGAGAAATGAAAAATATTTCAAAAAACAGAAATGCTAATTACCTTGGTTTGACCTTCCTATTGTATATATGTGTTAGAATATAATACTGTACCCCATAAATAAGTACAAATATTATGTTATTAAAATTTTTAAAAAGTAAAAGAGTATGGTAAAACCTAGTGATATAGACTAAGCTACAGAAAGTTATCCAGAAGATCTAGCTATAACTGATGAAAATAACTACACCAACCAACGAAATTGCAGTGGAAATGAAGTTGTCTTAATTTGGAAGTTGCTATCTAGTTCTCCAGAGCTGAAAAAGTCAAGTCAATGCCTGGCTACAAAGCTTTTAATGACGGGCTCTCTCTCTTGCTAGGGGCTAAGGCAGCTGATGACTTTATGCTGAAGCCAATTCCAAAAATCACAGTCTAGAACTAAATATGCTCCACCTGTGCCCCATAAATGAGCCTGGATGACCAACACATCTGTTTACAACATGGTTTACAGAATACTGAAGCCTAATGTTGAAAACTAATGCTCAATAAAAAGATTCCTTTCAAAATATTACTGACCATGGACAGTGCACCTGGTCACCCAAGATGTATTGTGAAATGTTGCTTGCATGCCTGGTAACACAAGATACGTTTAATCAAGAAGTAATTTTGACTTTCAAGTCCTTTTATTCAAGAAACATGTTTTCAAGGCAGCAGCTAATACAAATAGTGATTCCTCTGATGGAGCTGGGCAACTTTCTGTAAAAGAGTTAGAATTCTCTAGTTAGAATAGGGATGATTCAAATGAGGAGGTCAAAACACCAACATTAACAGGCATTTGGAAGAAGCTGATTGCAACCCTCATGAATGCCATTGAGGGGTTCAAGACTTCAGTCAAGGAAGTAACTGCAGATGGAAATAGCAGGAGAAGCTGTGACCGAATTGCTAAAAGCTCATGACCAAACTCTAGTGGATGAGGAAATGCTTCTTATAGATAAGCATAGAAAGTGGTTTGCTAAGATGTACCTACTCTGGTGAAAATATTTTGAATACTACTGAAATAAAAAACACTTTTAAAATAGTACATGACCTTAGTTGACAAAGCAGTGCAGGATTTGAGAGGAGTAACTCTAATTTGTAAAGTTCTATAGGTAAAATGCTATCAAACAGCATTGCATGGTATAGAGAAATTTTGTGAAAGGAAAGGTCAGTGGAAACAGCAAACTTCATTGTTGCCTTATTTTAAGAAATTGCCACAACCACCACGGTGTTTAGCAATCATCCCCCTGGTCAGTCAGCACCCATCAACACTGAAGCAAGACCACACACAAGTAAACAGATTACAACTCAAGGAGCAAACATTTCAGCCTTGCATTTATATATTGCACCCCACAATGGAACCCCTGAGTTCAATTCCCACATCCAGTTGCTAACTCCAGATTCCTGCAAATGCTGACCATGGGAAGCAGCAATGATAGCTCAAATAACTAGGTTCCTGACACCTATGTGGGAGACCTAAATTTAATTTACTTAAGGTGAACAGATTTCATGTATTTCATATATACTGATTTAAGAGCATAGTGATACTGCCCACCCTACCCTCCATCCCACTCATGCTCCCACCCTCCATCCTCCTTCCTTTCTTATTCTTTCTTTTGATTATTCTAAGATCTTCTTATTTACTTGAAAGGCAGAGTGACAGAGAGGCAGAGGAAGAGAGAGTCTTCCACCTGCTGGTTCACTCTCCAAATGGCCACAACAGCCAGAGCTTGGCCAATCCAAAGCTAGGAGCCAGGAGCTTCTTTCAGGCCTCCCACCAGGGTACAGGGGTCCAAGGACTTGGCCATCTTCTACTGCTTTTCCAGGCCATGGCAGAGAGCTGGATCAGAAGTGGAGCAGCCAGGTCTAGAACCGGCACCCATATGGGATGCCAGCACTGCAGGCAGCAGCTTTACCTGATATGCCACAGCACAGGCCCCTCTTTTAATTTTTACAGTGACATACTTACAGTTTATTTTATAATCTTAAGCTTAACCCTCCACTAAGTAAAGAGTTCAACAAATACTAAGAAGAACAAGTTCCTCAACTGTAGAGACAAGGGCTGTGAGACTTGGATTTCACTCCTGGCTCCCAGCTTCAGCCCTGGCACAACCTTGGCGGTTGCAGACATTTTAGGAGTGAACCAGTACATGGAATCTAACCTTTGCTTCTTTCTGCCTCAAAAATAAATAGGTAACATTTAAAAATATATCGCAATTCTCTGAAAGGCTCAAATAATCATTAATATTTTAACAAAATATTTTTAATTAGGCATGTGCATTTTTTAAAACATAATGTTATTTCACACTTAACAGACTACAGTATAAATACACTGGGATACAAAACCTTCATGTGACTCACTTGATGCAATATTTATTGCAGTGGTCTAGAAATGAACCCATAATATCTTAAGGTGTAATTGTGCACATCTATACTCACTTTTGTGAAACTGTAGAATATGTTACTTGTATATGTACATAATATACATTATATATAAAATGTGTATATGTGATACATTCTTTTACTTTTATTTAATAAATATAAATTTCCAAAGTACAACTTTTGGATTATAGTGGCTTTTCCCCCCCATAACCTTCCTCCCACCCGCAACCATCCCATCTCCTACTCCATCTCCCATCCCATTCTTCATCAAGATTCATTTTCAATTATCTTTATATACAGAAGATCAATTTAGTATATACTAAATACCACCACAAGGCCGGCGCCACAGCTCAATAGGCTAATCCTCCGCCTGCGGTGCCGGCACACCAGGTTCTAGTCCTGGTCAGGGCGCCGGATTCTGTCCTGGTTGCCCTTCTTCCAGGCCAGCTCTCTGCTGTGGCCCGGGAGGGCAGTGGAGGATGGCCCAAGGGCTTGGGCCCTGCACTCGCATGGGAGAGCAGGAGAAGCACCTGGCTTCGGATCAGTGCGGTGCACCAGCCGCAGCAGCCGTTGGAGAGTGAACCAATGGTAAAAGGAAGACCTTTCTTTCTGTCTCTCTCTCTCACTATCCACTCTGCCTGTCACAAAAATAAATAAATAAATAAATAAATAAATACCACCACAAGTGTTTAGTGACAGCTAGGAGGAAAGACAAAGTGGGGTAACATAATCTAATTTTGTATAAATTAAAATGTCCAAGTTGGGAAGTTGGGAAGGGAAAGTGCAAAGTAAGTAAATTGCTTCTTTTCTGGGAATTTTTCTACCAGAATTGGCTTTATATTAAATAATCTGACCTTATTTAGACAAGGCCATAATCAAAGTGGAAGTTCTCTCCTCCCTTCAGAGAAAGTTACCTAATAGTGGTGCATCTAAAAAATAATATCTGGGTGGGTATTTGGCCAAGCAGTTAAGATGTGAATTGGTAAGCCTGCATTCCACATTGGAGTGCTTAGTTTCAGTGGCTCCACTCCTGATTCCAGTTTCCTGATAACATACATCCTGGAAGGTAGCAGGTGATGGCTCCACTATTTGGGTCCTAACACCCACATGGGATACCTGCAGTGAGTTTCCATTTCCTGGCTTTGTCATGGCCCACCCCAGCTGTTGCAGGCAGCTGAGGAATGAACCAGTAGATGGGAGATCTCTCCCTATTTCAGTCCGTCTGTCTTGGCTTCTCTGCCTCTCAACAAATAAAATGGACCAAATTTTTTAAAAGCAATTTTTAAAGATAGTTTTTGGTTTTTCAAATTGCATAAAGTGTGTACCATTCTCCTTCAGAGAAGGCTAAGGTCTGATCTATCAAGGAACAGAAGAAAAGCAAATATCCCAAAGTAAATGATGTCGCAGGGCACACAAGAGGCAGTGGGCTGACCACAATGACGGCTCCTTTGACTCCAGGAAATTTCACTTATTTTGAAGCCCTCTCTCACACCAACTCACAGTAAGAACAGATTTACTCAGCCATCTAAGGAATCTTACATTCTTTTTAAAGTTCCAGTTTCAGAATCCATGACATTTCCATAGCAGGGCACCAGAGGAAGACCTATGTAGTCTGCAATGGAAAATAAACTCTTTCTCCATCTCTGTTTTCCATGCTAGAAACTAAGTAACAAAACAGCATCACTCACACTCCCCTCTTTGCTCTCCAAACTGCTCTCTGAGGCACCTTCAGAGGAGGCCACTCCTGGATATGGAATACCTAGAGCAGCACCTAAATAGAAAAACAAAAACACACGTCTCAGATCAAGTCAGATTTCAAAACCCAAGAGGGAGGGAAGGAAGTATGACTACCTTTTTAGAATTGTATCTATGAAATCTGTTCCCTTAATGTTAATTAAAAAAAATGGGGGGCTAGCGCTGTGGCACAGTAGGTAAGGCCGCCTCATGCAGTGCAAGCACCCTATATAGGCGCTGGTTCGAGTCCCAACTGCTCCATTTCCAATCCAGCTCTGCTATGGCCTGGAAAAGCAGCAGAAGATGGCCCAAGTCCTTGGGCCCCTGCACTCACATGGGAGACCTGGAAGAAGCTCTTGACTTCGGATCAATGCAGCTTCAGCAGTTGCGGCCAATTGGGGAGTGAACCAGCGGATGGAAGACCTCTCTCTCTCTCGCTCTCTCTCTCTCTCTCTCCCTGCCTCTCCTCTCTCTGGGTAACTCTGACTTTCAAATAAATAAATAAATCTTTTAAAAAAATTTTTAAACCCATTCATATAAGTCAGCTACTCTTTCATCCTGAAAATACAGTGCATTCTAACCTCAGGTCACATTTGCATAGAGTCTTCCAGAATAAAAATTATTGATTAATTCCACAAGCATTTACTGAACATTTACTATGTGCCAGAATCTGTGCAAGATACTAGGGAAACAAAGACAAAGTTCCTATTCTTAAGGACCTACCTAACAAAGGGTACAGAATTGGCTCTACCAGAAAAGAGAAATAGGGAAAGATTAGAGATGGCCTATGAATTGACATCTGTGGAAAGTGGACCTCATCATGTTCTTCTAATTGTTTTTGTATATATTTGAAGTTTCTTATAAAGAGGGCTTCTGTCTTGTTAACTGAAAATTTAAAAAGCAACTATCAATTTATAAGAAATAGAGGAAAGGAATGTGTGAAACTATGCAACCAGAAACACCTTGGTGCCGGAGCTGTGCCGTAGCAGGTAAGTCCAGCATCCCATATGGGCACTGGTTCACCTCCCGGATACCCCACTTCCAATCCTGCTCTCTGCTATGGCCAGGGAAAGCAGTAGAAGATGTCCCAAGTCCTTGGACCCCTGCACTCATGTGGGAAACCCAGAGGAAGCTCCACGCTCCTGACTTTGGATTGGCGCAGCTCTGACCAGTGTGGCCAATTAGGGAGTGAACCAGTGGATGGAAGACCTCTCTCTCTATCTGCCTTTCCTTCTCTCTCTGTGTAATTCTTTCAAATAAATAAATAAATCTTTAAAAAAAAAAGAAAATATTTACTCTGGAAACTACAGGACAAAGAACAAATTGTAGACCTGGAAAGGTTCTACCTTTATAACATAAATAGTGGTCACAGCATATTGGCCTTGAAACCATTTATTAGATCATATAGTTTTTAAAAATAGTGTCCTAATTGATATTATACTTAACAATTAAGGGTTTTTAAGTACCCACAATAGAAAATAAATGAAAAATTATTTTTCCTGAGGTTTTGAGCAACATATAGAAACAGACAAATCTAATGTTTTTTAAATGTGAGTTGGAAAAAATGTACTTACTTAGAAGATCACCTTAAACTGTAATTTAAAAGAAAAGCAAATAAAGGTACAAAACATACCTCCTAATGTTGAAGTGTGGTCAAAAGGAACTGGAGATGACAATTCAGGCCTAGAAAAAAAAATTGGGATTAATAAAATAATAACATGAGGGTTTATTTGAAATTTGAGGGTTGTTTCCCAAAAAGGAAAATAGTAGATCACTAAATAAGGGTTCCCAAACCAAAGAACTAAATAACAAAGTTAAAAGTTTATAACTTTGTAATTCATTAATTTTACACTTATTGTTGCCTACTCGACTAAAATCACCTCACTGAAATATATGAGAATACTTCAAAATGTCTGTGGAAAAATGGAAACTAAAATGAAGTTTATTTTGTTGCAAAAACAATTTGAAATCCATGCATACTTTTTCATTAAAAAATTAGTGGAGGAGCGGCAAGATGGCGGAATAGGAAGGGAGCACACTGATAGTCCAGGAAGAGACAGTTTAATAAAAGTGGAGATACTGCAGGTTCAAGGAAGAGTAGGGGAAGAAACAGCAGAAGAAACTCTTCCAGAACTAGTGATTCACAGTGGACCTGCGTGGAGAGCATGGGAGCCCACAGTTCAGGACACCAGCAGCAGAATCAACACACCAGCGCTGGAACGTGAGGTGAGCCGAACCTCAATAGCCCGAGACACCGGCAGGCAAGTGGAAAGAGGAGACTAGAGGGAATGAGGCTTGAAACCCCGCGGGGAAAAGTTCAACAGGCTAACTAGAAGAGAGAGGAAAAAAAAAGTGACCGATTTGGACACAAGTTTCTCTCTCTCCGCTCATCTCTCAAAGGTGAGCAAGACAAAGAGCAGGCGCCATTTTGGACATACGTCATAAGCGGGGCAACTTCAGGTCTGCACCCACTCTCAGCCAAGCAGAAAAACATGACTCTGGGGGGAGTGAAATAACCGGAGATTAGGACCTAGTGAATGTGTGGTACTAATGAACTGAGACTGTAAAAAAAGAGATGGTGGGGGAGAGAACTCACGGAATTCACGTGAGTATTCTCCAGAGACGCTACAATTCGGTAAACTTGGCAACCCAGTGGGCAACTGCAGAAGAATTTGAGCCAACACTGAGGGCAGCACAGATTCCCTGTGTGGTCCTTGGGAAAAAGCTTCCGATCTCTGGCTCCTGTGGGTATATCATTTGCCTGCTAACTACCTCCAATTCTGCTCAGCTGCGTGGAATTACTTCCCTTTTGAATCAAAAAAAGAAAGAAAGAGAGAGAGAGAGATTTACCACACCTAACCTGGGAGTGTCACCTTTGGCACAATCTTAACCCTGAGGAACCAAACAGAGCTATCAGGCCACACCCATCTCATGCCTCTAAGGCTCCATCAAAAGCAGGCAGTACACTTAATACAGTCAGAGTATAAAAAGAAAAAGCACCACAGAGAGGAGAGAAGAATCCAAAGAATATCTCCACAATGCCAAGCAAAAAAACGCAGAAACCAAGGAAACAAGAACAAGGAAGACATTATGACATGCCCAAATGAACAAGACACCCCAAGCCAAGATTATGAAGATGATGAGATGGAAGAAATGCAAGAAGCAGATCTCAAAAAATTGATAAGAACATTAAGAAGTTTTCAAAAACAAATGGTTGAGCTGTGGAAATCCTTACTGGACAGGATAGAAAATCTCTCTCGTGAAAATGAAATCTTAAGGAGCAATCAAAATGAAATGCAGAAACTAGTAGAACAGGAAAGTGTGATAGTGAAATCAAAATGAAATGAAGAACTCAATAGATCAAAAAACAAACACATTAGAGAGCCTTAAAAACAGAATCAGTGAAACAGAAGGGAGAATATCGGACTTAGAAGACAGAGAACAGGAATGTTTACAGTCAAACCAAAGAAAAGAAGAGGAAATTAGAAATCTAAAAAATATTGTGGGGAATCTACAGGACACAATTAAAAAACCCAACATTCGGGTTCTAGGAGTTCCTGAAGGCATGGAGAGGGAGAAAGGATTAGAAGGCCTTTTTAGTGATATACTAGCAGAGAAATTCTCAGGTTTGGAGAAGGACAGAGATATCCTAGTACAGGAAGCTCAAAGAACCCCTAGTAAACATGACCAAAATAGATCCTCACCACGACATGTTGTAATTAAACTCTCCACAGTTAAACATAAAGAAAAGATCCTAAAATGTGCAAGAGAGAAACATCAGATTAGTCTCAGAGGATCTCCAATTAGACTCACAGCTGACTTCTCATCAGAAACACTACAGGCTAGGAGGGAATGGCAAGACATAGCACAGGTACTAAGAGAGAAAAACTGCCAGCCCAGAATATTATATCCTGCAAAGCTATCATTTGTGAATGAAGGTGAAATAAAGACCTTTCACAGCAAACAGAAATTGAAAGAATTTGTCGCTGCTCATCCAGCCCTGCAAAAGATGCTTAAAGATGTGTTAAACACAGAAACACAGAAACATGGTCTTCAATATGAAAGAAGGTAAAAGAAGGAAACCTCACATGAAAAGATCACCGGAAGTTCAGAGCACAGATTTGAAAATATCTTTGGCAAATGGCAGGGCAAAGTTACCACTTATCATTAGTCACATTGAACGTTAATAGCCTGAACTGTCCAGTTAAAAGACACCGATTGGCTGATTGGCTTAAGGAACAAAACCCATCTATTTGCTGCTTACAAGAAACACATCTTCCCAACAAAGATCCATACAGACTGAAAGTGAAAGGCTGGAAAAAGATATACATGCCAACAGAAATGAAAAAAGAGCGGGCATAGCCATCTTAATATCGGACAACATAAACTTCAACACAAAAACTGTTATGAGAGACAAAGAGGGACACTACATAATGATTAAGGGATCAATTCAACAGGAACATATAACGATCATCAATGTATATGCACCTAATTACATGGCACCGGTTTATTTAAAAGATTTGTTAAGGGACTTAAAGGGAGACTTAGACCGCAATACAATAGTACTGGGGGACTTCAATACTCCACTCTCAGAAATGGATAGATCAACATGACAGAAGATCAACAAGGAGACAGTAGATTTAATCGACACTATAGCCCAAATGAATCTAACAGATATCTACAGAACTTTTCGTCCTACACAGAAAGAATTTACATTCTTCTCAGCAGCACATGGAACCTTCTCTAGGATTGACCACATACTAGGCCATAAAGCAAGTCTCAGCAAATTTGAAAGAATTAGAATCATACCATGCAGCTTCTCAGACCATAAAGGAATGAAGTGGGAAATCAGCAACTCAGGAATCCCTAGAACATATGCAAACACATGGAGACTGAACTACATGCTCCTGAATGAACAATGGGTCATAGAAGAAATCAAAAGAGAAATCAAAAACTTTCTGGAAGTAAATGAGGATAACAGCACAACATACCAAAACTTATGGGACGCAGCAAAAGCAGTGTTAAGAGGAAAGATTATTGCAATAGGTGCCTACATCAAGAAATTGGAAAGGGATGGCAGAATAGTGAGGGCGCGCACCGATAATCTGGGAAAATTTAGTTTAATAAAAGTGCAGTTACGGTAGCCTCAGAAAAAGGATCAGGAAAAAATTGCAGAGGAAATACTTCCGGATCTAGTGGCTGTGACTCAGAGGACCAACTGGCAGAGCAAGGTCACCCAGTGTGAGGAAGCCAAGCCGCGGGAGCCGAAGGGTCTGCGCACCAGTGCGGCAAGGGAAGTGGATGTCACACAGACACCAGTGGGGAGAGCAGGGATGCCCAGGGCTCCGAGTCCACACATCGGCGCTGGAAGGGGAGGTGAGCTCAGCAACCGGAGACATTGGTGGGGAAACGGCAGACAGAATTTAGAGGGAAGTGGGCATTGAGGCAGGAAAGTTCACCAGACTGACTACAGGAGAGAAGGAAAAAAAAAAAAGAAAAAAAAAAGGAGGGGGGGTACTGGTACAAACAAGTTTCTCTCTCTCTGCCAACCTTGCAAAGGCAAGCAAGAGACAAAGAGCAGGCCCCACTAGGGATATACATAACAAAAGGGGAGAGCTAAGGCTACAATTCAGTAGCCTAGGCAATCCAGTGGGAGTCCACAGCAGAAACTGAACAGGCACAGACTCTTTTAGTAGATACAAATTGGAAGGAAGAAGTCAAACAATCTTTTTCTGCAGATGATATGATTCTTTACTTAGAGGATCCAAAGAACTCTACTAAGAGAATACTGGAACTCATAGAGGAGTTTGGCAAAGTGGCAGGATATAAAATCAATGCACAAATATCAACAGCCTTTGTATACACAGGCAATGCCAAGGCTGAGAAAGAACTGCTAAGATCAATCCCATTCACAATAGCTACAAAAACAATCAAATACCTTGGAATAAACTTAACCAAGGATGTCAAAGGTCTCTATGATGAGAATTACAAAATCTTAAAGAAAGAAATAGAAGAGGATACCAAGAAATGGAAAAATCTTCCATGCTCATGGATTGGAAGAATCAACAAAATCAAAATGTCCATTCTCCCAAAAGCAATTTATAGATTCAATGCAATACCTATCAAAATACCAAAGACATTCTTCTCAGATCGGGAAAAAATGATACTGAAATTCATACCGAGGCACAGGAGATCTCAAATAGCTAAAGCAATCTTGTACAACAAAAACAAAGCCAGAGGCATCACAATACCAGATTTCAGAACATACTACAGGGCAGTTGTTATCAAAACAACATGGTACTGGTACAGAAACAGATGGATAGACCAATGGAACAGAATAGAAACACCAGAAATCAACCCAAACATCTACAGCCAACTTATATTTGATCAAGGATCCAAAACAAATCGCTGGAGTAAGGACAGTCTATTCAATAAATGGTGCTGGGAAAATTGGATTTCCATGTGCAGTATCAAACCCCTATCTTTCAACCTACACAAAAATCCACTCAACATGGATTAAAGACCTAAATCTACGACCTGACACCATCAAGTTACTAGAGAACATTGGAGAAACCCTGCAAGATGTAGATACTGGCAAAGACTTCTTGGAAAAGACCCCAGTAGCACAGGCAGTCAAAGCCAACATTAACATTTGGGATTGCATCAAATTGAGAAGTTTCTGT